GCGCCGGGGGCGCCCTGGGAGCCCGGCAAAGCCCCTCCGTCCCCTGGGCATCTCTGGGCGCTAGCGTCCGGTGGAGACCGCGGGCAGCTGCCCCTGCCTGGCGCCACCCGCTCTGCCCCGCTCAGCGCCCTGTGACAGAAGAGGGACACCCAAAATCCGACCCCTCTCCCGGCTACGCCACGGGCGGACCAGCTGCCCTTCTCGCGCCCCGTTGCACCGCGCTGCAGAGAAGCGTTGGAGGCTTATAAGGTCAAAAGCGGCCTTTTCCTCTGGGCTAGTTCTGGTTTGTTTCTTGGGGTGTTTTTGTTTTTTAAATGTATCTGTTTTGTTTTGCTTTTAACTGCTCCCGCTCGGGTACACGCGGGCCGTGCTAGTCCCAGCAGGGAGGCGGCAGCGGTGCGGCCGGCGGCACCGACCCCTAACGCGGAAGCCCTGCAGGGGTTTCTGCATTCTGCATTCATCTGCCTTGTTTCCTTCCTTTCTTTCGGCGGTAGAAATCTGGGGGTCGGGGTAAAAATAGAACAACCAAAAAGTGCACCTTTTTGCGCGTTGGCTTGCTGCGTTTCACTAGAAACTGGCATATTGTTTCCTAGTGCCCTCGAGCATGTGTACAGCAAAGGTCCGTTTTTCAATGGAGGAGGAATAGCCCATTTTCTATTTAAATTATATACTTTGTGGTTTGTGGCCAAAGACGAGCTAGTCCTTGGGTTTTGCATGCTCAGGAGACAGGATACACCTGCTTTCTGGGCAAAGGGCGCACAAGGGGGAAGCCAACGTAAAGAAACAGGCCTGGAGCGTAAAACTTCAGGGTGTTGTGTGGCTACTTTTCCAGTGAGAAACTGACAGCGGTTTACAACTGTGAATGCATCGAAGTCTAGACACCGGCCAGCTACCATTGTGTTTGGCACCCTTCCAGTTATTGTAATCAAACTCCTCATCACTCCTGCCCTGGTGCAACTACACCTGGATGCTAGTTACTAAATGGCACCGAAGACCGTGCACATCTTGTCTGTGCTTGTGGTTTTATCATATTCAGTGTTGATTCAGACGAATTTATTGATGACACCTACTAAATCAACGAGGACTACTCCAAATGTAGGCAAGTGCCTACAAAGTGCATGCTGCGGAAAAAAAATAGGAAAAATCCTACAGGCTACCGCTGCAGTAGTATTTCCTTCAAGAAATCACTCAAATGCAGTAACAATCTTCCCACGTTCCTTTTTTTTTCCATCACCAAATTACTCAAGTAATAGATTGACACATACATTTTTCCGGGTAAACTAAATTTTCTTTCTTTAGCCTGATAGTCACTGCAACCTGACGCCTACAGTGCCAGGCAGGCTATTTTTAAAACTCTTCTACGGATACTGACAATATACTTAGACACATAACATCATAATCTTTTATGTATTACTTCTTTGTAGGGATGAATATGCAGAGGAAATTTTTTTCAGTTGCACTTTTACCATTAAACAGTTTCCATAAGCTGCAAATGAGAAAAATACTAAAATCTTCAGATATTTAGGAATATCAACAGTAAAACCTTAAGTAATTGCGTCTTTAGCGATTAAAAAAAAAGTTGCATTTATTACAAATCTAAGAAGAAGCAACTAATTCTTTAAAAATGTAGCTGTTAACATCAAACTAAAAACACTGCTACACAAAAGAGCAAATTTCCCCTTGTTTTCATGTTTAAGAGTAATTTATTTCTTCACAGAGAATCTGCAGCCAGCCTTCAGTAACAGATAGCTTTGTCCTGGTGAAAAGAAAGAGCTGAGTAGGTGACCTTGCTTTGTATTTTTTCATTTAGGGCCGATCACATTGAAATTAAATTCAACTTTCCTGTAGATTTCAGGGTCAGGAAAACAAAGTTTCTAATATATTGGGCTGACTGAAAGAACAGCTATAGAATGGAACAAATCCACCATGAACAATATAATATTATCTAAAAGATGCGTACCTTAGGGTGGTTCCAAGAGGCAGCTCAAAGGACTGGATCTCAGCAAGGGCATTTTCATATATCTGATCTTTGTTTTCTTCTAGATACAGTTCTGGCAGATTTGACTTGCTTTTCCTTGCCATAGATTAACATAAAACTAGTCTAACTTTAGGAGAGGACTTTTATTCTGATTATTATCGTTGACTAAGTAACTCTGTAGTCAGCAAAACCAGGCATGAAAAAACAGATCCTGCGCTAACCTCGTGACTCCTGAGGACTTTGTGTCCAAGAATGGTGCACAGCTGCTGTTTTCCTGTCTCTGCTGGTAACATTTGCCTTGTATGCAGTACACAGGCGTGCACAGTCTTTTTCGTTTGTGCGTCCAGTTTATTTATCTTAACAGGAAATTTACTGGCAAAAATAATATTTTTACATCCTCGTAATAGTTCACCAATAATAAATATTAAGCCTGAAATTTAGTCAGTTTGAAAACAATTTTCAAGTCATTTCAGACACTAGACATCAATGCTTAATTTCTCTGTTAAGTTTTATGAGATTAAAAATAATATTTTTTTTAAAGTACTGTATTTTTCCTTTTGCCGTATAAAAAGCCTGTACACACAAGAAATTAGCTGGTTCTGTGAAGCAGGTTTATGGACCTTGTAAAGCAGACTGGAAAAACAGAGAAACTTTTATGTTCTCGTCTTTTTCAGCATTAGTAGATGCTACTTATAAATAACAGAGTGCAAAAAATGCTCTGGGATAACTGTGGGTTTTGTATGAGTGTGCAATAAACAAAACTATTACTAATTCATGACCTGCGTGGAAGAAGAAGAAAATGGGTAAACTCCTACAAATGTTGAGAGCGGTGCTGCTGTCAAGTCATTGTCATTATGATGATGGCAAAGGAAACACTTTGCACAGCTGCCACCAATTACTTTAATTTCAGGCAGTTATTTCAAACATGAGACTGGAGTTCTAGATCTTTCAATTTAAACAACTTTTTAGAAGCCTAATTCAATATTATGTGGCACAGTCAATCTTCTTATATTTGGTTATTTTGGATATTTCAAAGGTTTTAATCAAAATTTGGCTCCTATCTCAGTACTGCTCCTGACAAAATTGATGAGAGTCCTTACACTCATGGTGCAGTCAACAGTTAAATGCAGGAAAACATAAATTACTCATTTCTGACCAGGGCGATATATTCTTTATTCACTTCTCTGTGCCCAGCAGGAACACTGAGGAGATGCGTTCACGTCAGTAGCAGTGGGAAAGAGCTCTAAAGGCTACAATGAGTTACACACATACAAATCTGTGACATGTTCCCTTGAACAAGCTGCTTTAATCACCTGTTTATTTTTAAACCAAAATTAAGCAATTGCTCTGTTAGCATTAATATCCAATACATTTCCTGCTTTCGTGTGCTAAACAGAGTTGTGAGCCATTTTTACACCTTCCACAAGAAATGGGAGCCTGTGATTGACCCATCCAGCCACTGGATGTCACACAAATGCAGATGAAAGGATATCGTAACTGCTCATTCTAATCTTAACAGACACCAGATTCAGTATTAATTTATCAATTATGAGGTGACACTCTGAAAGTAAACTGCAAAAATTATTACACTGAATAAGGCACAGGCAGGCCAGGTAAATTTGAGACGCCTCGGACACCTACACCCAGCCATCACGCACCGTGGCTTGCAAGAAAATAGGATGCAGCGATGGGAGCATGATGCTTTATACAGAGTGCTTTTGTGAATGTGCTTATGTGATTTTAACTGAGTTCGATACTTACAGATGCTTTGGGTACAATTTCTTCTTCCTTCTTTCCCAAAAACTCACACAGAAGCTTGCTTTAGGAATAAATCAACCAAAATAAACAGTACTCTGAATCTGTTGTGCAAATGTTGTAGGTATCACAGTCGCCTGGAAATAAATATGTTTAATATCAAAGCAAAACAATGTAAAAAGAAACAAAGAAATACAAAAGTGAATGACCAAGAAATAGGCAGGTTGTTAGTCTGTTTGGTTGTGGAAGTGGGTGTTGAGGTACCTTGGTTCTCTGTACAGGGTTAGACCAAATTGTACCGGGCCCGGCTGCTTGGCTCTCCGGAGTGGTTTACACCCGCGCTGGACCTGTGTGAGACCATGACGTGTGGAGAAGGATCTAACGCATAGTGGTGGATCTGTACCTGACCCCAGATCTGTGGGCAGGAGTCCATTAATACCTGCCAAAAGCCCTTTCTGCTGCAGGTGATCCTGCTTCTTCCCCGTGCTGTCTGTCCAACCTGCGCTCCCCCTCTCCGTTTCTTCTGGTCCTCCCCACCTCTTCCGTAATACCGGTGCTGATTAGACGTGCCCAAAGTCTGCATCTCTCAGTCATACGTGAGCTTTTCCTTTTTCCAGCTGAGTTCAGGGCCACTCTTAAAAGGCTTTAGGGAACGGCCTTGTCCAAGGAAATAAAGTTTTTTTGCAAAAAGACAAAAGGACAAATTCAGTACTGTGACATGACACAAGCTGATACATTCATCAGCTTCTGGCAGAACAGTGTCTCTTTACATCGCAACTATACATAACATGCTCAGAGGCTGCAGCTAAATAGACTATCAGCAAAGACAGTGCTAAATATTTAATTATTTTTTTTTAACTTTATGGTACTCCCCATGCTGAAAGGGACAGTAGGAATTATCATTTCTGAGGCATCATACTTGTACTAGTTGAAATTCAACCAGGTCAAGAAGCCTGAGAAAGTATTAGTATGCTAGAAGTCCCTGACAGAAGACGGGAAGGTATTTTCTGTGCTTGTTAAATTCTCGCTATTTCTGTGAAGGAGGATTTCATTGTCTGGACAGGCAGAAACCTCAGGGCCCGTGAGCCGTAAAGACAGCTGCTGCCATCTTTCCAATCATCCTGAGATTTTTCTTTGAAAAAATATGCCAAAGCACCTATTTCTTGCTGAAGGTGTAAAAATGGTTCACAACTCTGTATAGAATAAGAGGGAAAATTGAGGCAAATAACAAGATTGTGAAGCAGGACGCAGAGGCTTATGTAGAGCAAAACCACTTTCACCACGTCCTTTCTCCCTTTCCTCCCCTAATTCCCACTCTTCCCCAACCGCAATGGGATACCAGAGGGCCAAGAACTGCTGGTTTAAATCTAGCCTGCCTGTGTTAATGCTTTAAAAATAAGTTTTACCCACATGACAATTACAAAAAGAGTAGCAGGTGCTGCAGTATAGAGTCATCCCTACTAGGTATGTAATTCTAGTGTAGATTACTTTTTCTTTTAAATTACCAATGCAAGATTAGCAGCATCAAGTCATCAGAGATTTGTTTAATTTTCTTTTCCAGTTGGATTGGAATCCATTTTGAATGATTCATGGAAAAGAGGGAAGGGGGAAAATGTGCACCCTCAAATGGAATTACTATAGATAATTTTCACATGCAATGCCATCCATAACAAATGACTTCATTGGTCATTGCCTGGATATCTCCCCTTTATATCCCTCCTCAAGGACAGCAATGGCATTAGTCATTTCTCTGGCATCTCCCGCTCTGGTGCTGCCTCCTTTCCTGGGCTCATCCCCAAACTGGACCCTTGCAAACCAGCTCATTCTCCCTAGAACCTGCACCGGCTGCTCCTGTTCCCCTTGTGCCTGCTTCTTTTCTGGTGGCCAGACCCACTTCTGCCTGCACTTCTCTACAATGCATTACTACTAAAACATCTCTTTAGGAAGCATCTGATAAAATGTATTCTTTTAAGGTTGCTGACTTTCCTGATCACTCCATGCTGCCAGTATATTACATACCAGCAGGGAAATGACTTTGTTTTTTCAGAGCGTTTAAGTGAATTATGCTTCCTGAATTGTAGTCAAAATCTGTAAATACATTGCTTTTTGTTTCAATTACACTGGATTTCAGAATTGGACAGCATATATAACAATCTTCACCAAAAGACTGAGGAAATAACATTCTATTGCACGTTTACACCTGTTATGTTTACAGTAAATTGCTCAAAACAACACACATCTTTCCCATTAGGAGGGCAGCGCATCACTAACTACTTTTGACATTTCATTGACATCTTACAAGTGCCTAAAAATATCAGGAGAGATCCTCAGCTGGTGCTGATGTTATCTTTGTAAAAGTCAATAAAGCCATCGAGACTACTGGCTTAACAGAGGCACTTCTGTCTGACAGCAGCGGGCATGAGAGGAGAATCACTCTCGTCATACGTGTTCTTATAATGCTCGGTGCCATTGAGGAACAAGTACTATCTCATTTTCATTGCAACATACAGACCATGGAATAATGCTCAGTCCAGCTCTGGGCACATGCAAAAAGTAATTAACAGTTCAGACTAAAAAAAAACATCTACTATATTTTAACACAGCATTTGAATTTCAGATTTGAAGGAGACACTGATTAATAATGTTGGCTAATAGCTTACAAAGTAGCTTCTTCATCGTTCTCCAGAACAAAACAACTGATGCATAAAAAAGTTTTCTCTCGGCTTACTAGTGCGTTTAAGGAACAGGTGTCGATTAAAACCCTGAGTCAAGGACGTGTCCCGGGAGCCTGAGGGCTTTGCTTCCTTGTAGGCAGTGAGGAGCTGTATTACAGACGCTGCCCTGGAGGACATTGCTTTTCTGGAACAGGAGGGCTTTTTTTCTCCCCACTTTAATAGCATCTAGTCTTAGATAGCCACAGCATCTAAATTCCTTATGTAACCCGGGAGAACTTTCCTGAGAAAATCAGCCCCTGTTCTAGTTTGGGGTATGAGCGAGTTAGAAATTAAAATGACTTTTGAGGTTAGGACGAATGTATGATGGACATCTGACTGGCGATGGCCAAGTGACCCCAGCTTGGTGAGTTACTCTGTCAGTTGGACCACAGTGACTGACAGACACCGTGCCCACTCTGAGCCTATCCGCGCTGCAAACTAAAACGCTTTAATTGAAACCACCACAAACAACCCACTCAGAAGTTTGATCATTTTTATCATGGCCTATATTCTTTAAATGCTTTTGGGGAAAAAAATCCTTGTCTGAATATAAGATTGGATCACTTTAGCTAACAATTAATTAAACTAAATGTCTCCATAGACATTTTCAGTCTCTCAGGTTCTTATTTCAGTTTAGTTAGAACTCCACCTAATTGGCTTAAGTGAAATAATTCTGCCTTAAAAAAAGGAATATTATCAGATAGCTTTTTGCACCAGTTCTCTGCAGGTCAGGCTTATGCTTCTGCTACATCCTCCACTCGTGCTTCACTGAA